AATATACAAAGAGCTCTTATAAGTTAATAAGGCAAATAACCCAATTTTAAAGTGGAAAATGAGCTGAATAAACAAGATAAACATGGCCAGTAAGCAGCATTAGCAACCATCAGGGAAATGAAAATGAGGTATCACATCACCCTCACTAAGATGAGTATACTAGGATAGAGATCATAGGGAGTGTTGAGGAAGTGATCCTAAAACAAGATCTGTCATTCACTCCTGGTGTAAATGTAAATTTGTCTAGATGCTTTGGAAAACAGCCTTTCTCAGAAGGTTAAATATGAAGTTAGAGTATATCGCAGCAATTCTGATGGGTATATACCCAAGAGAAATGAAAACAAGTCCACGAAAAACTGACACATGCGTGTTTATAGCAGTTTATTCATAATAGCCAAGTTTGGCTCTGAACCAGAATGTAAAGATCCAAAATTATTCTTGAAAGTATATATAACATTAAAGTAGGGTAAAATCCGGGATGTAAAATTCAAATACTTTTTAAATACTCTCTAGACCCAAAGTTGGGCTCAAACTTCAACCCAGAGATCAAGAGTCACATGCTCTTCCAACTGAGCCAGCCAGGCTCCCCTTGGATATTTGTTTTAATAATGTATATTCAAATAATGTTGCATTTTGTATTTCAGTGGTTACTGAAACATTGGCTGAAATGCTTTGGGAAAACTTTTAAATATACTAAAATCCATGGAATTGGAAAGCATGTGTAGACCTTAAAAAAAGAACAAAAAATAAAAAGGACATTTTCATAGTGAAGCATAATATGGAGATCACAAATAACAGAAAGGAAAACGTAACAGCAAAAAGCTGTGAAAACCAGAGAGGCATAACACCAATATAAATTAAAGCTTTAATGGCATTTATATTACATGTAATTTGATTAAATTATATTGAAAGATTCATTAGACTAAAATCAGTTTTACAAGAGACATCTAAAATTGATGGGATGAACAACAGTATGTTCAGAAGGAATTGCACCATCAGATAAATAAAAGAGACATTATGTTTTTAAAGTTAAAAATTAACAGGATACTGTCCAACAATTAATTATACACCTGAGGGAAAAACGAATTTAGATTCCTTCCTTCCAGTACATTCTAAAATCAGTTCTAGATGGATTAAAGACTTAAATTACAAAACACAGGTCTTTAAAACTTGAGGTAATATAGATGACTTCTCTTTTCCATCCTTATGCTGCAGAACAGTACCATGATTCCAATGATGTGTCAAATGTGGTTTATTTGACAGCAAAGGATCGAAGCACAGGATTCAAGGTTGAAGAGTGTCAGGAGCTCTGGTGATGGGAGGGATCCCCCAATTACAATTTTTTAAGTTTTAATCTACCAGTAATAAATTTCACTAAACCTCTCTACAACATGTAAACTGTAGTTTACCTTTTAGGTAGTTACCAGTACTTAAATTCCCTGAGCCCTTTACTGGCAGTGTTACTTATTTCTCCCTAAGCATACTGATACAGAAGTGATTTGTCTCTCTTTAGTGCCCTAAGTTTTATCAACGAGCAAGTTGCAGTTAATGACCCATTTTCTCATGTTTATAAACTTTAAAAATAATTCTGAGCAAGTATTTCTATCATATACTCACTCAGGTCTGCATTTATATCATACACTTTTATAGTTAACGCAGCCACGCTACAGGTCCATGTCCCGAGATAACCTATTTGGAAGAAGGCTTCTGTACCTCCAGTGGGCCTTATTATTTCATACATTACCATGGGGGTGGGAAAGGATTTCTCAAGGGAGATTAAACTTTGGCCATAAAAGAAAAAAAGAAAGAAATTTGTCAATATAAAAATTAGGAAGATCCAAGATACTTGTAACTCATTCAGCGAATGGTTGACAAAGGATTATTACTCATAATCTATTAAGTTTTCTTAATATGTAAATAAGAAAAGACAACCCAGGGCGCCTGAATGGCTCAGTCGGTTAAGCATCCCGACTCTTAGTTTCTGCTCAGGTAATTATTTCGGAGGAGTTTGAGCCCCAGTTTGGGCTCTGTGGGGACAGCATGGAGCCTGCTTGGAATCCTCTCTCTGCCCCTCCCCCACTCACACTGTCCCTGTCTCAAAAAATATAAATAAGCTTTAGAAAAAACCCAGTCAAAAAAAAAAAATTAAGATATAACCAGGAATTTTGCAGATAAAGAAAGCTGTATAGCCAATCAACATGAGAAGATGCTAGTAATTAGGGAAATGCAAATAAAGACAGTTGGGATATATATCTATATCCAGGTAGATTGATAAAAATTAAGTCTGGCAATACCAAAGGCTTGAGGGGATGTGGATAGTGGTAACTCTCATATATCGCCCATAGAGATGTAGATTGGTATACCTGCTTTGGAAAATAATTTGTCTATCTTGAAAAGTTGAACATTTGTATATCTTACCTGCTACCCAACAGATCCACTCAAAAAATTTATACAGATATGCCCCCTTGAAACAAGTATTCGTCAGAAAAAGAAAACTGGAAGTGACTCAGATATCTTCATAGAGAAGTAAATAAACAAGTTTTGTTATATTGACGCAATCGGTCATTATAATGCCATTAAAATGTATGAATTATTGCTATATACAATTGTGTGGATGAGTCTGGGATATTCATGAAGGAACAAGTGTTAGAAAACTATAAGTTACTCTAAACGAAATTAAACTATACTGTTTACAATGACATTTACAATGAAACTAACTTACAAAGGGTAATAGAAGTATAAACTCAAAACTTAGGATATAGAATTATCTTAGAATGGGTACCAGGGAGGAGACATGATATAGGGAAACTTAAGCAAATGAAAGTTACTGGTCGTACTTGATTGAATGAGTGGTGTGTGGTTCAAAGGTATTCAGTATTTTTTAAGTAATCCCTGCACCCAGGGTGGGGCTTAAACTCACAACCCTGAGATCAAGAGTCACATGCTCTTCTGACTGAGCCAGCCAGACACCCCAAAAATATTCAGTACTTTCAAATTGTTGTATTTCATAATTAATGGATATTACATGCCTTTTGGATGCATCATATGGAGGGGCATATTTCCCCCAAAGTTTTCAGGGCTTTTCACTATTTTCGGCCTTCTCTCAAGGCCATGAGAAAGGACCATGGCAGTGTATTCACATGGTTGGAAGTTTTTGTAAGATTTTAAAAAATAAGATGCTGTAATCATGTAAGACTACTGTCTCTCTTCATCTTCATTTCCCCTTACCTCTGTGTCACCTGGCAGTAGAACAGCTTCAGGCAGATTGTGATTAAGGATATCCTTAGCGTGGGTTTAATGGAATACATTTGTGGTTCATAGTCACTTTTGAGTGTAGGTAATTATTGCCTGTTGGCCTGATCGTGATGGGAATGTGGTCTTCAGTGCCTGGCACCTGAAATATGTGAGGAGTAAAGAAGCCACAAATTGAAATTTATGAAGCCAGAAGGTAGTCAGGAAGACTTCCCAGTTACCTCATGTTTAAAAATGTAAGTAGAGGATATAGCTCTCATGGATTTCCAATCAAAAGAACTTCTCTCTTTGTTAAAAAAAAAAAAAAATAACAGCATGTTCAATTAAAACGTCACCATAGGGGCGCCTGCATGGCTCAATCGGTTAAGTGTCTGACTTCATCTGAGGTCATGATCTCACAGTTCGTGGGTTCAAGCCCCATGTCGGACTCTATGCTGACAGCTCAGAGCCTGGAGCCTGCTTCAGATTCTGTGTTTCCCTCTCTCTGCCCATCCCCTGCTTGTATTCTCTCTCTAAAGTAAATAAACATTAAAAAAAAAATTAACCATGCTGGAAGAAAGCCTTGGTTTGATCATTCTTTCTATGGGAAATTCTGCAAAAATTATGTTCACTAAGAGGCAGATATTCAGTCATAGAGGCAAAACAGGATCCTATATTGTATCAGGCCCTTGATTAATGAAAGTATGCTATTTTTTCTGGATTTTGTGATGTTTATTCATACGTGACAGGTTTTTTTTTTTTTAATTTGAATTTGTTCTGATTTTTTTTTTCTTGCTATTAAATAACTATTTACCTCAACCTTCAGGTCTCACAAATCCTGGAACTGTTCGTGATCATATGAAATAGTGAATAAAAAGGATAAAAGCTTCAGGTAAGAATATAGTTACAAATGACAAAATTACTTAGGTAGTTTTGACTGTATCGTTTGTGCCTTAAAAAGTCTTAGATTCTTTCAGTTTAATAAGTTCTCTATAGTTTGCTAGATAACTGGTCTACCATGCCCGTATATATTATATATATCTATATTCTTTTGCTTTTATTACGCCTTTGATTGTCACTTGGCAGAGTTCTTTCCTTTAAGCCATTTACCTACCTGCAGTTTAGATCAGACTTGATATAGATACTGAGAAACACGAAGATATTTTTCTCTCTTATGGAGATTTTTCTTAAATTATGAGAAATTATTATTACAAAACCTAAATTGGCTTTCTTGTTTGAACTGGCATCACGTTGTGTATCTTTAGCATTTATTTTATACTCCTACTGGGAATTACTCCTGCAGTACCATTTATTTTGGAAATTTGAACATTAGGAAGGCTTTAAGAAGGTGCCATTATGTGGAGAAAATCCAAAATTCTTTGCAAAACATTGAGTTTTGTTTTTATGAAGAAATGCAGTTCATTCTTTAGATTATGTAAAGTATGGCCTGTTTGGATTGTTGACACCAGACTTTAATGGTTACAGCAATGAGGTAATACCACAAAAAGTGGCCGGATAAAATTATCAGACTTAGTATCAAGTAGAGGCTTACTGGCAATATGAAGTCTGGGTTTTACATAGTTTAGATTTATAGACTAAAATTAAAATTGTACATTTTAATGACAGATGGAAATGGATGTAATTTTCAAGAAAATTACCTGACTCTTCAGAGATAGTCTGACCCTAATTTTAGTACTGCAAATAAATAAGCTTTTGTCTATTAGAGAGAAGTACTTAAATATGGTATTTTAAACTCTAGGATATAAAAGATGGTAAGTCCAGATAGAAGTAAACGGAAGATACTAAAAGCCAAAAAAACAATGCCTGCAAGTTGCCGGAAGCAAGTAGAAATCCTGAATAAGTCAAAGAATGTCGAAGCACTGAAAACAGCAAGTGGGAATAATATGTCAAGTGGTAATCAGAATTCAAATACCAGTGTCGTAAGGAGCATATATGGACAGTCTGAAAATGCTGCTTCCTTGCTGGCCTCTAATAAAAATTCAGTATGCTCGGTGAAAAGTAAAGTTTTGTCTCAGAATGTAATGAAACCATTAGAAACTGTTGATTCAGAAACAAGATCAGAATACACTCAAGAACAAGTTGTGTGCCCTTCCCAAAAGCCAAGTAAAACAATAGAATCTTCTGGGAAACCCTTTACACAAGAGACAAAAGATTCACAAAACACTTCTAAAAATCATTTTGAATGTCAGACAGAGGTAACAAGGTCCTATTTTGAACAACGTGAAGAGGATTGTGATCTGAAATCCATTTGTTGTCCGTCCAGTTTATGCAGTGGTATGGTTCCAATACCAAAATCTACAGTAAACACCTTGGATGATAAGAGAATCGACAAGATTGTTTCCCATTTAGAAACGAACTCCATTTCCGAGTCACATGATAAAAGACAAAGTGACATTCTAAGTTCAGATACCCATTTTGTGCCTTTTGATAAAATACCTAAGTTGGTGAATTCAGTCATCTCCAGTAACTGTCCTGCTGACATCTTGAAAAGTGAAGAATCCTGTAGAACCAGTCATTCCAGCGTTTCAAATTGTGACAATGTAGACTCAACGTGGCCATCAGCACTCGACACAGATAGTAATAGCAGTAAGTGCATACTTAAGCATCTTTTGGAGAAGTGAGTCATTTTCCTTTTGGGGGATTTTTTTAGCCTCAGATGTAGAAACAGTAGACTACATATAGTCAAGAGAAAGAGTGAATAATGATAATAATTGTTATAGAGTATCTTGTTTCTGAACCATTTAGGGTGAGGAGGGGGAAATAGTATTATCCATACCCAAAGGAAAATAAATTCTGGCAAAGAAGGAATCAGTCGCTTTCCCTTAAGAGTACAAAGAAATCAAAAGGTGGTTTAAGGCAGTTGTTTGGTTTATTTCATCTACATCTCTTTTTTTTTTTTTAATTTTTTTTAATGTTGATTTATTTTTGAGAGACAGCACGAGTGGGGTAGGGGCAGAGGGAGAAAGAGAGACACAGAATCCGAAGCAGGCTCCAGGCTCCGAGTTGTCAGCACAGAGCCCAACGTGGGGCTTGAACTCATGAACTGTGAGATCATGACCTGAGTCGAAGTTGGATGCTCATTTGACTGAGCCACCCGGGCACCCCTACATCTTTTCTTATTTTAAAGATTTATTTATTAGGTTAATAAGGAGGCTAGTTGAAAGAGTGTGTTTTTTTAATCATTGGTGAACTCATTTCTTTCCATAGAATTGACCTGGAAATCATATGCCAAGTATAAGCTGATAGGTAATAAGGGTATATACACATGAGCATATACATGTGTGTGCATAGAGTGACAGAGAAACGTCAGATAATTAACCAGTGATGTTCTAGAGCTACCAAATCAAATAGCAAAAGTAAATTTCGTTAGAAGTAGAATGTTTTTGTAGGTTAGTGAAATATAAGAAAAAACCGATTTCGCAGGAGAAATTTTGTGTTCTTGCCTAGGCTTCATAGTGATGATTAAACAAGATGGATTTAAAATTAAAAATAATAATAGTATCACATATTAAAATAGGTCAGACTGCCTAAGTAACTTTATAAAAATACTGTAAGACCACTTAAGTAACTAGAGGATTAAATGCTATAATTCAGTTTTTGTTGGTGTTAAATAGGCACTAAATAAGGTTGAAGGGAAAGTGCATCTGAGACCAGAACGCTACGTAAAAACCTAAGACAATCATTTTTTGGGGGGGATTAGTTTGTCGGAAGTTTTTATACAATTACATTTGCTAAAAAATGCTGCCTTGGTCACATTTTGGTCACTAGATTAGAGAATTCCCCTGTTTCTTTCCTTAGAAGGAATGTTTTTACCTCTGATCTTTCCATTTCCCCAAGGCCATAATCAAAAGAAGAGGATGTTTTCAGAAAAAAAAGAACATGTTAAGCGCATGAAAACTTCAGAGCAAATTGATGAAAATATTTGTGTAGCTCTGGAAAAGCAAACAGCATTGCTGGAACAGGTAAAATATCAGGGCATATATATTTGCTTCAGAAACTTCTGATTAATAAAAAATGGTAAAAGTTACTTGATCTCCACAATGATGTATAGTACAGGTGACTTTCACTATGGTGCAAAGGTGGTATGTGAAAACGGAATCAACAGATGGAGGTATCAGGGAAAAGATCATTGTTTCCTTTACCATCTCTAATTAATCGAACATAGCCCTATGCAGAGCAACCTGGAGAATCACATGGAGGTAGAGTGCTGCAGTAGAAAGAGAATGGCCTTTTTAGTCATATTGCATTTAAATTTCCTTGAAAGACACTGCATGACCTTAAGCTTTGCTGGATCTCTTTTGTCCTGGTCATGGGGTTCTCTGATCTGCAGCTACAGCTGTTGGTATACCTTGTCACAATTGACCACTCCATAGACTCTGACAGCCCAGAAGTCTCCATCATAAAGTCCAGTTGCATTCAGTTTTACTTGCCCTGATTTCCAGGTTTACACAGAAATGTTTCATTGTCTGACCATTTGCTGTATAGCATCATCAAGTGCACGTTTTGCTTTCATTTTTGCCCCATTTTATTTCATTGTACTACAGTTTCCTACGTCTGATCAACTCTGAGTTTAAGTCTAATGAGCTTTAATTTTAATAAAAAAGGTCCTCATTACAGGACCTATTATAACAATCATATTTTACTGTTTTGCTACCACTGGAATTGTTCACCCAAAAGTCATTATATGGTAGATTAATGTCTGTCAACTATAATGGACCACAAAGCCCCAAGCCAAACTATCCTGCTGTTTCAGGAACAAAAGCACTACTGTTTTCTAAAAGAGACCATTACAGTTATATGGTTATGTATTATATGAATATATATTCACATAATAAATAAATGGAAACCTTATTGAAAGACTCATGCAGAACCAGCATGAAAGCCAGTCAGCAGTTTTTCCCTTTCCTCCTAGTCTTTTCTTCCAGGAAGACCAAAGGAAACTCTAATATGTACATAACTCTATTATTTGCAGGAGGTGGGTAGCAAAATTATGGTAAGCATAGATCTAGCTTACAAAAAAGGTTGTGGATTCCAGCTGTGTCTTACTTCGGTGATTAGTAGCTGAATTTAGAAAGAAGTTCTTTTTTTTTTTAATGGGTTTTTTTTGTTTTTGTTTTTTTTTGAGAGAGAGTGTAGGAGGGGCAGAGAGAGAGGCAGACACAGAATCCGAAGCAGGCTCCAGACCCTAAGCTGTCAGCACAGAGCCTGACACGGGGTTCGAACTCAAGAGGTGTGAGAACGTGACCTCAGCCAAAGTCGGACACTCAACTGACTGAGCCACCCAGGTGCCCCTAGAAATAAGTTCTGATAGGGACATATAAAGACAAAATTTAATCTTTGTATCATTTTGGTTTCACTGGCAGGGGAAGATTACAATTTTCATTCATTATTGTTATCTGTCTCACAAAATACTTGGTCTGAGTTGACACAGAAAATGGTCCTTCCAAGTGAGGTTTAAGGAATGCAGTCTATTTTGTTTTGTCAGCCCCCCCGCCAAAAGTTTTCTTGCACATTCTTCGCAAATATCTTGGGTTTCAACTAATTACTATCTTTTTACCTATCTCTAAACAGCTAGCTTTCCATCCCTTGATATTTTAATTCCTGTTCAAACAGTTAACTCTCTAAACCATACCTATTTATTTTTCTTGTTTGATTCCCAGTAGAATAGGTCCTACCATTCTGGCATCGTTCTTCCCTGAGAGAGTCCCAGAGCTGTTGACTCTTCTCTCTTGAGATTCTGTAAGGATCTTGGCCTCACTGATTTCAATTAAATTATTGAAGTGGAGAGGTTTTTCTTCTAAAGTCCAAGTTATTCATCTACCCATAGATAAGTGGAGTTCCTCATCCTAGGAAGTTGGGGCAGATTGGAAATGCATAATTGCCAGTCTTTCTCCAAGCTCTAGGCTACTTTGACTGCCATCTGCAAATTGTACCTAGGATTTGCATCTGATACCATAATTTTGGACACATTACCATCAGCACAAGACATTTATGAGGTATTTGGTGGAGGTTATTACATCTTCCCTGTTCTTCAGGAACATCACCACTAAATGAGAACAAATGTCCGCTCTAACCAAGAGTAATCACCCGTAGGTGGGCAGTTAGTCCTTTTAAATAACCAAATTTTAAGAGTAGGCCTCCATCTGAATCACCAGGAATACTTGCTTGGTTAAATTGTGGTTTTTACTGGGCTCACTAATAGTTGAAGACTGTTGTTTGAGGCTCCTTTTTTCTCACACTTACCTGAGAATTACTCGTGGTGCCTGTTAATTATACAGCTTTCCAGGCCTTTTTCCAGGAAGTTCTGGTTGGTGAATTCAGGGTAGGGCCTAGGAATCTGTGATGTTAACAAATGTCCCATAATGGTTCTTCGTCACCAGGGAAGGTTCGCAAATACTGTGTGGCCTCCACTTGTTAGCAAAACGCTATTTCCATATTCAAAACATTTAGATAGTTTCTCCAAGATTCATCTCAGTATGAGCTTTACATATTGACCCCAGCCATTGAACTGGCAAGTATGCAGTAACCCATAAAAACCACACATGGGTAATAGGTAACACCCGACAGTAAAAAATAGTATGTTTTTCTGAGCACTTATTTATATAATATACTTATTTTGAGCACTTACTAGTTTAATCAAATACTTAAAAGTTTGAAAGTGAAAATGACAGTCGTGCCTAATAGTGAGAAAACCACTGAAGAAATGTTAAGCATTACAGAAAAAATCAAGTAGATGATAATGTTGAAGAGTAAGAACGGTTGGAAATGTGAAGGAAGAACCTTAGGAATAATCAAATAAAATTGCTGAATATGAGAAATCATCCAGGTGATACCAGTATAAAAGAGTTAACATAGAAGCTTTGTGTTCTAATTTCAGACACCAAGAAACAAGAATTTATGGGGAAAAATACAAATATTACCAATAAATACCTTAAGTGTATCATGACAGGTTTTGTTATTAAGAGAGACTACTTACTGTGTTAGGAAAGTGGCTTATAGGAGGTTACAGGTTCAAAAAGGTACAGTGGATGTTTCTGAATATATGGCTCGACAGAGCTTTTCATAGCCATGGGCATTGAGATTAATTCTACTCCCTGAAAATAGGCCAGCCTGTTTTCTAAAAAACAGCCAGACAATGAAATGCATTAATGTTTCGTGTGATAGCTACTACAGACTGTTAGGATAGCATGTTTTATGCCAAACGGCATTAGTCACTACCTAATTGTTCTGGCCTCTTTCAGTTTTAACAATAGGAAAGTCACCCCCTAAAAAAACCTATGCAAGTAAAGTGGATTATGTTGCATATTTATTTCCTTTATGCCAATTCACTATTTTCTATTTTATGGAGCTCTTTCACATATTAACCTTTCGTATTATAAAAATCCTATGAGGATCATTTGTTCAGCATTGTATTATCTACCCCTATGTGGACAAAGAAAATGAAGGCGAGAGATATTGTGACTTCCCAAAGGTCATGTAGCTTGTTAATGACTGGGCCAAGGTTCAGACTTCCATAATCTGCTTCAGATTTACTACAGACCAACCAGCCATGTTCACTGGGCTCTGGTTTTCAGATAGGTAGAGATCCTTTTTATGGAATACAGGTTTCAGTTATGCTTATTAAAAAATATAAATGGGGGAGCGCCTGGGTGGCTCAGTCGGTTAAGCGTCCGACTTCGGCTCAGGTCACGATCTCACAGTTCGTGGGTTCAAGCACCGCATCAAGGCTCTGGGCTGACCGCTTGGAGGCTGGAGCCCTCTTGGGATTCTGTGTCTCCCTCTCTCTCGCCCCTCCCCTGCTCACGCTCTCGTGCCCTGTCTCTCAAAAAATGAATAAACGTTAAAAAAAATTAAAAAATATATATATAAACGGGATATAGGCTTTTACCTTTCCTTTAATATATATTATGGAATTCAGCTGAAACTACAGGAAACTAAAATTAGCATCTCCATAGATGGTGTGTCTTGCTGAATTTGATATTCGAACTTCTATAAAACTTACGCATACAGTCATATACATAGAAACATAAAAATATGAAAAAAAAAGCATATTTTATTGGTTACAGTAAATCCAAAAAAGAGCAAAGATCTTTTGAAGGGGTAGAAAATAAAATTGTTTTTCAACTTGAAACATGGGGTGTTTGGGTTTTGTTTTTTTTTTTTAATTCTAGGTCAAACATTTGATTCGACAGGAGATCTATAGTGTAAATTACAAACTATTTGATAACAAACTGAAAGAACTGACCGAACGCATTGGGAGGACACAGTGCAGGAATAAACATGAAGCAGTAGCTGATGAACTCTTCGTAAGTTTCTAATTTCATCTGATTTAATTTGGAAGTGGAATGTAGTGATATTTTACCTGTTAGGAAACAGAAACAATAAAGCAGACCCAAGTCTGATCCTTGACCACAAGCATTATGTACTATACCAGAGGCGATAGAATCTATTAGCAATAGTGGCCCTTGTGAGATACTTTTAGAAATATTCTTCTGTGCTATTCTGTTGTCAGTAATTCTGTGTCGATTGACCTAATACATAGGCAGTTGTTTTTTTTTTTAATTCAAAACATATTCTGTATTAGAGCGCCTACAGCCTGTTTCAAACTGTCTCGGGGGTTTTGTTTGGTTCTACTTTTCTAAGGTTACTTGCTGATTGGTGTTTGTACCGACATTAGTGTTACTGTGGCTCAGTTAGAAGTTTGGGGTTTTTATCTTCCATTCTTAAATGGTATATCAGCATCAAACATTATTTAAATCTTTGCTTATATAAGAATTTCTCATTTACTTGGGTGGCTACCTAAGTGTTAGAAGACTACTTTGGCAAATACATAGTTTTCCCTTCATCTCTATATATTATTTAGTACTCTGGTTTCATATTTGTTTTTCTCTTTCTCTTCTAGGCGAAAATATCCAAACTTCAAAGACGCATTAAAACAGTATTGCAAACTCAAAAGAATTGCTTGGAACCAAATGTATTAACCAATAACACGGCCCGTAAGGTTGGTATAAACATATAGGAGTTTTAATTACCTCACTGACCCACATTACAGGTAGTTGGATTTTAAGAAAGGAAATGTCAGCTTTAAAGACAATACATTTGTTTTTGGAATGTTCCTATGATGCTGTCTCTGGAGAAGATAGTCTGCAGAGTATCCTCCAAATGCCACTTATATTTCTTTCATCAAGTGAATGGAGAGGTAAAAAATAAAGGAAAATAAAGTGAGTAGAGAGGTGATTTGTGATTACCTAGACTGCTCCCATCCCCACCATTTTATCAGGATAAAGAATTTAAAACACACACTACAGCAAAGTTGAAAAAATGTAACAGTGAACACTTGTATACACGGCATCTAAATTCTACCTTTACTATTTTTATGTGTTGATTTTTGTCATATATCTGTCAATCCATTCATCTCCTAAGCCATCTTTATATTTGGTGCATTCTTAAATACTAACATGTTTTGTAGCAGAATGTATTTCCAAAATATTTCAGCAAGGGTATCATTGGAGTTTGGCATCTGTTTATATTTTTTATATAAAATTTGAATCTAATCTTCAATGTACGTTCACTGAGTTTTTTCCTTGTAGTGTCTTTATTTTCTTTGGTATCGTATTTATGGTAGCTAGCCTCAGTAAATGAATTGGGAAGCATTCCTACCCCTGTTCCCTGGAAGTTTGTGGTAAAATTTTTGTTACTGCCTTAAATGTTTGATAGAATCCATCTCTGAAGACTCTCTGGGTGAGAGCTTTTTTTATAGAGAGACTTATTCTCGAAATGCAACTCTTTAATAGGTATGGGGCAATTCACATTTTTCTCTTTGATCTCGTGTCAGTTTTGTAAGTTACCTTCACAAGGAATGTGACCATTTTATCTAAGTTGTTGAATGTGTTGACAAATGATTGACAAAATTTTCTTGTCCTTTTTTTTTTTTTAAATATTTTTTTATGTTTATTTCTTTTTGAGAGAGAGAGAGAGATAGAGCATGAGCAGGGAAGGGGCAGAGAGAGAGGGAAACACAGAACCCAAAGCAGGCTCCAGGCCCTGAGCTGTCAGCACAGAGGCTGACATGGGGCTTGAACCCACAAAACAGTGAGATCATGCCCTGAGCCAAAATCAGGAGTCTGATGCTTAACCCACTGACCCACCCAGGGGCCCCAACTAACACAGATATTTTAAGTACTGCAAGTTCTCAGGGCACCTGGCTAGCTCAGTCGACTTAAGTGTCCAACTCCAGCTCAGGTCATGATCTCACGGCTTGTGAGTTTGAGCTCCACATCAAACTCTGCGCTGTCAGCAAGTTCTCTCTCTCTCTGTCCCTCTCTCTCCCCCACCCTCAAAATAAATAAACTTAAAAAAAAAATACTGTTAAGTTCTCAACCAAAGCATGTACTAAGTACTTCAGCTTCCAAGTTTTAAACAAAACTCACCAACTGGAAGAACAAGTTGGAAATTTGATTTATTTCTGGTTTTCACTTATTATTAGAAATATAATGAAAGTAAAAATTTGCTTATTAAAGTTTAATGTTTCTGAGTTCCTATAACATAGTCTGATAGGAATAAAATGTATAAGTACTTAGGTATTTATTTTTCTTTTCCACGCAAGCTAACAAGTTCATTTGTTACTATCATTTTTATTTCCTAGAAGTATTTTTAAAATTCATTTTGGCAGAGAAACTGCAATCATGGTCATTAGCCATCGAAATACGTATAACTTAACGTATGTTTTGCCATATGTATTCGGGAATATCTTGAGAACATTTTCCAGGTGAAAGTTTACCTAGTAGTTGTATGTGGAAGAATACAAGTGGTAACACTCCACTCCCTTTCAGTGCTTTCCCCTCACCCAATTAACAGGTTACAAATTCAGAGACGAATTTGGATAAGAGCCCAGAGTCAGTCAGTAGTCCAGATAAAGGAAAGACTTCGGTGAACTCTGAATCTGCTAACCCTTCACAAAATGCGAGTGAAAAGATTAATTTATCAAGGAAACATGATGCTGTTTCTGAAAGGTAGGCGTTTCTATAAAAATGCATACTTAACTAAGTAGATGCTTGTAAACCTTTGTTTCTCAAGCGTAAAACAGCTTAAATGTTCACATTCATTCTTGTCTGTTGTGAAGGAATGGAATTGGTTATCCAGGACTTTTATCATTGTTGTTTTACATGGTGGTTTTTACTAAATATGGGCACCTGAATGGCTCAGTCGGTAGAACATGTGACTTTTGATCGCTGGGTAGTGGGTTCAAGCTCCACATTGGGAGTAGGGTTTACTTAAAAAGAAAAACAATACTAAGTCAAGTTTAGAATTGACTAGGGGATTGGGTTTTCCATTATGCTGTGTTCCAGCTTTGGTATGGGGACCAGAGTGGTCACTTGATCACTCCTGTGGTTTTTGTTCTACACACGGAAAAGTCAAGGTCCTGTGAAACAGTGGCTTACAAAAATTACAGAGAAGACTAAGGCTAGGAAAGTAAGAGTGGAGAAGAAGTGCCTGAAATTATTAGTTTCTTAGAGGTTGAAAGCAGTGTCATGGCAACTTCAAATTAGAGTGAATAGACTAACTTCCTTGTCTAAAAAAAACATCCAAGGGGAGCCTGGGTGGCTCAGTCAGTTAAGCATCTGACTTCAGCTCAGGTCATGATCTCACAGTTCATGAGTTCAAGCCCCGCATTGAGCTCTGTACTGACAGCTCAGAGCCTGGATCCTGCTTTGGATTCCATGTCTCTCTCTCTCTCTCTCTCTCTCTCTCTCTCTCTCTCTCTCTGCCCTGCTCATGCTCTGTCTCTATCTCTCAAAAATGAATAAACTTAAAAAAAAAAAAGCATCCAAGACCTGGAACCCCTGATCTAGTCTAAAAGATTTGGGGCTGGTAGGGAAGAAATCATTAGGTTTAACAAAGAAACACGATTACTGATTCCAGCCTAGATAGATGATGGGGGGAGGGGCATTTTAGTGAATTCTTTTCTTTGGTGATTTTGAACAGTTTTGGAGCTTTATAATACTATTTATTTATTCTTAACATTAACTCCTTAAAATGTCCTCAGGTTTTACTTTTATATGTTAAATTATACTCCAGCTTTTAAAAAGAGAAAAATATATAACCAAAAATAAATAAAGGATGGCCATTATTTGAAGAACAGCACCCTTTCTCCAGAGAACTGCACATACCCAAGGAGGCAGCAAAAGAAGGAGAAGCATCCCAAATCTACACCATTTGCAGTAGATTCTTGGTATTTGGGAATTTACATGCAGTTTTGACTCCTCGGAAGAAACCCTAACATTCCTAATATTCCTAATATTCCTAATATTCATTTTAGTTTTGAGCCAGGAGGCTGCTATGAAGAAAGCATTTATTTAGTTTATGAAGGCAGGAGTCCCATTTCTTTTTTTTTTTTTAACGTTTTTTTTTTTTTTATTTATTTTTGAGACAGGGAGAGACAGAGCATGAACAGGGGAGGGTCAGAGAGAGGGAGACACAGAATCTGAAACAGGCTCCAGGCTCTGAGCTGTCAGCACAGAGCCCGTCGTGGGGCTCGAACTCACGGACCGCGAGATCATGACCTGAGCCGAAGTCGGCCGCTTAACCGACTGAGCCACCCAGACGCCCCAAGAGTCCCATTTCATCGAGTCTTTGTTGTTACCACTTCTTTTTTTCTTTTCAATTTTTTAAAAATTATTTTGAGAGAGAGAGTGTGAGCAGGGTAGGGGCAGAGAGAGAGAGAGCAAGAGAGAGGATCCTAAGCAGGCTCTGCACAGTCAGTGCACAGAGCCGCACACGGGCTAGAACCCTCGAAACTGCCAGATCATGACCTGAGCCGACATCGGCCGCTTAATCGACTGAGCCACCCAGGCGTCCCTGTTGTTACTACCTCTTAATGTGTGTGCTGAAACTCATCAAGTGACAAAAAAGAAAAATAAAATGCTAGTGACAGAAGTTGAAAAGTGAAGACCCCATGAAAATAGCATTTTGTAGACCAATATGGCAAATTTGTTTGTGGCTTTATCTGATAAGAACAATCTACCTTATGCTCTGTCATGAAGAATCTGCCATTTATGGAACTTGTCCTAGGCAGCCACGATAACAAGTGTGTATAAGTTGACCTGGATGGATGGATTCAGTGGTGAGTTTTAAAAACACCGAAGAAAGAAACAACACCGGTGTTAAACTCTTCCAAAGAATAAAAAAAGAGGAAATACTTGAGTTCATTTTGTGAGACTAGATACTACAATCTAGCACAATTCTGATACAAAGTCAATTTTAACATTTTACAGAAATGGAAACCTACAGTCCACTTTTACCCACAAAACAGACACAGATATCCTAAACAAGACACTAGTAAGCCGAGTCCAATAATCTATAAAAGTTGAGTTTGTCACAGCAATGCTGCCAGGTTGGTTCAACAATAAAAAAAATCAGCAAATGTAATTTGCCAGGACAAGAATCATTGTTAACTCACAATAGAGGTCGGATTTGACAAAATACCTGTTGATGATTAAAAACCAAATTCCTGGCAAACTTGGAATAGGGAGGTAACATCCTTAATCTGATAAAGAATATCTACAAAAACCCTAAAACAGATCTGATGGTGAAATATTGGAAGTATTTCCTTTAAGATATAAAATAGAAGGATGCCTGCGGTCATCACTTTAACCTTCTACTGGATCTCTTGGCTAATGGAAGAAAAAGAAGTCAAAATACAGAGGGTTTAAAAAGAAGGAAGAAATATTATTGCTATCCTTGGATGATTAGGGTAGGATTATAATGTAGGAAATGCAACATAACTTACAGATACATTATTAGGATTACTAAGAGGTTAGCAACATTGCCAATCTCAAATGTGTAAGAAATCAGTTATATTCCTGTATACCTGATACAAACAATTAGGGAATTATAAGATTTTTTTTAAAGATACCACACCAATACAGTAGCACCAAATACAGCCATTAGCTAAGCTAGGAATACATTCAATAAGACATGTAATAACTGAAGAAAATGAACAAAACTTCCAGAGATTTTAAGAAAAATTCACTGGAGAAATGTACTATGTTTATGGGTTGCCCAATGCAGTATTTATAGAATGTACTCACTTTTGTTCAAATTAATTTATGGAGTGCAATTCCAATCAGTTCCCCAGTGTGTAATTTTGTGGAACTTGACAAGATGATTTGATTTCTAAAATGTGTGCGTAAATGCAGTAGATTAAGAAACCCAAGATGTCCATCAACTAGAGAAACACGAAGGAGTTTGCCATCAGATGTCAGGACACTACTAAACTGCAATAATGAGGATAATGTGATACAAGTGATAGAAAAATGGAGAATCCGGAAACCTATGTATGTATGTGTGTGTGTGTGTATATATATATATACACACACACACACATACACACACACATGTGATCAGTGATGGAGAATGTATGGCACATCATCTGGGACATGAGGGACTTAGTAAATAGTGCAGATACTTTGCTACTCTTGTTGAGGGAAATATGAAAGAAACTGGATCCCTATATCAGGCTATACATAAAAATCATCCTCATGTGGATTAGGAACTAAATAACGAAAGGAGAATTATAAAGCTTTTAGAAGGTAATATAGAATGTCTCCATGAACTTCAGATAAGGAAAGATTTCTTAAGACACAAATACCTTTGCAATAAGCGAAAAAATTGATCACATTAAATCTTTTTTTTTTTGGATTTACCACATTCAAATTGGAAACAACTTCTCTCAAGGCACTATAATTTTAGTGAGAAGACAAGCCATCAAGGTGAAGAAGACATATGCAGCACATAGAACCTATTGAGGACTAGTACCCAGAGTATATATATAAAAGAGTTTCAGTGAATAAAAGCCAGATAATACAAAAGGAAAATGGGCAAAAGACTTGTATGTGTATTTCACAAAAGAGGAATTCCAAATGACCAATAAACATATGAAAAGGTGCTCATTTTCATTAGTAATCAGGGAAATGCAAATTAAAGCCACAATGAGCTGCCATTTCATATCAGGTAAGGAAAAGTAAAACATTGAAAAATCCAACAACACCAGATGTATTGGAGAGGCTTTGAAATAAAGGGAACTGACTCTGTTTAAAATTTTGTTGTTAGAAGAGCAAATTGGTATAATGCTTTAGAAAAAATTTGGCATTATCTAGGAATATTGAAGATCTGACCATCATTTGACCTCACATTCCTATCCTTTGAAACATGCCCTTTAAATGTGCAATAGGATATATGCAGAGGAACATTTATTAGCATTTTCCATAATAGTCAAAAACGAGAAAGAAAAAAAAGCCCATCTACACTTGAAGTGAATAAATTACAGTAAATCCGCACAGTGGAATTCTGTACGTTAGTGGAAACGGAGGAACTGCAGTCACATGCAACTGAGTTACTCCCGTAAAAACATTGAATGGTTCCATTCTGTTCAAATGAATGTCAAAAATAGCCAGAAAAATAGAAGTACATTATGTAGGAATTCAAGGCTAGATGGTGAACCTAAAGAATAAAACAAATAAGCACTACAAATGCTATTTATGGAGGAGATTTGTAATACAGGATAGAGGCACATGGGTTTCTGAAATGCTGATCATATAAAATATATTTACCTAAGCGGTGGTTACATGGGTGCTAGCTTTTTAATTATTAAATTAAACATGTGTTTTAAACCCAATTTGAAATTAGTTGCCTATTTATTAGAAAATCTAGATTTATGTTTAATGTAATCTTACTGAAATACGTGGGTTCAGAACTACAGTCTTTCTTCTGTACTCTTTCATTCCATCTATTTTATGCTCCTTCTCCCTTGTCTGTGTCTGTGTGTTGGTCGCTATTTTAGCCTTTTGAATCAATCTTGTTTTCCTCTTTCCCCATTACCTTGTTAATTACACATCTTCATTGTTCTTTTAGAAATTGCCCTAAAGATCAGATTTGGATCCTTGACTCTAGTAATCAGAATCTCATATGAATTGCTACCTCTGCCATTTTGTAGGCAGTGCTTGACCTTAGA